ACCAACCAATTTACCTGTTGTCCAGAAAGGGATAATACCTGTGCTGTTATTATTTTTGTTATAGGTACCTTAATTATTACTATCAATAACGTATTCAGATACTGAATGGATACGCATTTTTTTAAAGTTAATTTTACTTCTAATACACGCTTGCTGCACATTTGCACAAGATAAAAATGAAGTCTAAAAACGTCAAATAATTGACCTAGAACAACAAAAAATGTTTAAAAATAATTAAAGATGCCTATGAATAACCTAAATGTGGAAAAAAAATGAGTGAAAATAATAATTTCAATGTTAAAAACAAAGAATTCGAAAATCTAATCGTCCCAACATTTTGATTTCTGTTCTTCGATGCCGGTGCCAGTGATTGCGGCAAGGCGGCACAGTTGTAGTTTTAGCCTCCGTTCGGCGGCAATCATGATCGCAGCATACGCTCCTGGTACATGTGTTCCGAACGGCCTCCGTCATGATTTCTACAACGTCTCTGCAACATTCCCACAACGTCCCCGCAACGTTGGTACCTACCTATCTATACTATGTGTATGCGGAGACCATATATCAAATAATATGTTATTCAAAAGGTTATGGTACCTAGGTCCGTCTACCTCTAAGGGGCGCGGGAAAAAATATATTTATAGGGCGCCAACTATATTTTTATACATCCACTACCAAATAAAAAAAAGGTGGGAAAGTGGGTGTCGCTCTGCTGTACAGTAGGTTACAAGTGGGTCACTGTATAATGTATGGTATTAAATTTGAATTCAATGATATAATATCATTGTATAAGAAAAACGATTCTGAGCGGTGACGGTATGTCAGTCTATGTATAAGACATATTATATACATATCTATGGTATTAAACAAAAAATTGAACTATAATAGGTACCTATAATAAATTCCAAATTAATCATATCACAATATCCATTAGATACTTATAACGCGTCATACATCAACAAAAACCGTGATACTATCATAGATATATAATAGTACACTTTAGAAGTTTCAAGTACCCACGAATAATATTATTCAATCACAACAAAATAACTAAAATAGTTATTCTAGGTTTTTTAATATGTAATTTCGTCCAAATTTGAATTTAAAATGTCTGTAAAAAATAAGTGTGTTCATATATTTTTTAGATTTTTTGGTTATAGTATGAACTATTTATGAGAACCTTTGTGTTGAATTTGTAATCCTTAGCTATAAAAACTGAACATTTTATAATTTATTAATTACAATGATTGATAATTTTCGAGATTTTGATAAATTTTGTCAAAATTTGATCTTTAAATGGTTATAAAAAAAAAACTGTGCCTATGTATTTTTAATATTTTTCAACTGCTATTGTAACAATATATCAGGAGCCTTGTATTCAATTTTTACACTTTTTGGCCCAACAGATAAAACTTTATTGATATTTATAGAAAAAAAAACTAAAAAAAATTGAAAGCTGTAAATGTCCGTAAACAGCTCAAAAAGAGTCAAAATATTTTCAAAATTGTATGATGTATAAAAAATGCTAATTTAAACATTCAGTGAAATTTTCATGTATCTACAGTTGTTCGTTTTTGAATTGCAACAAAATAAGGAAATCGCTACATGAGTAATCAAGTGAAAATCCAATGTTGTAAAAATTTGAATTTCAAACGCTCATAAAAATTTAATTTGACTGTCCGGTAGAGATTTTTTTATTGATAAAGGTAAATAATCTTATAAGGAATCTTGTGTTTCATTTTCAAATCTTAGATTTAAAAAGAAAAATTTTTACGAATTCTTAACTCAAAATAATTTGCTAATTTTCGTGATTTTTCCATATTTTGTCAATTTTTGAACTTTAAATGCTTATAAAAAAAAATTGTGACTAAGGATTTTTAATATTTTTCATCTGCCTTTGAAACAATATATTAGGAGCCTTCTATTAAATTTTCAAGCTTTCGCAACCAACAAATAAAATTTTATTGATATTTTTAGAAAAAAAACTAATAAAAAATGGAAAATGAAAATGTCCCTAAACAGTTCAAAATAAATCAAAATATTTTGAAAATGTTATCGTGTATAGAAAATGCAAATATAAACAACCAGTGAAAATGTCATGTATATACGTTCATTTGTTTTAGAATTACACCAATAACCAAAATCGATTTTTTGGAAAACCAATTTTGCGTAAAAATTCCCGTTTTTCCTTAATTTTTATGTTGTTTTTCCCGGCGCTTGTGAAAACTACTGGGAAATTTATACTTTTGACCCCCCAAAGTACCAACTAGATTCACTTTCCTATCAGAAAAGCTACTGATGAAGAAAATCCAAGCATTTTTACTGTCCTAAAACGTGATGACAGACACAAAAATAAAAAAAAAAATAAAAAAAAAAATAAAAAAAAAAACACACATCATTGTAAAATCAATACATTCATCGTTTCACTCAGAATCTAAAATTGTGTCTACCCTTGTAATTTGTATGTTTTATTTACAGACTACCTCCAGAAGATGTTAAACACAACTATCAGTTCACATATTTTAACCAACGCATTAGATGATAAACCATATTTTTTTAAAAAAAAACCAAAATAAAAACAAGAACACACACACTCGTCTTACATCGATTACCGTATTTGAATTTCACAAATCCCCTCTATGGCTCTATGGATCTATAGTTAATAATGATAAGAAAACTAATTATTTACATAAAATATGTAGCTAATACCTAATACCTATGCATAATAATTACAACTTAACATTTGTATAATATAACACCCATATAATATTATAAAATAGGAACACTCTAATATTATAGAGTAAATATATACAATAATGATATAAAAAAGGGGAGAGAGGCTCTAATTTATCAATTGATCATGGGGCTCACCGGGAAAATTCCCAGTGTCCCGGTGGACCAGTACGGGACTGCCTATACCTATTTATTTATATATTACTAACGGTTCAATTATTACTTTTAGTCCAGTCAATAGGGCTCCAAAAAAGGCGTTGCCTTGCTATAAATACAAAAGTTTTGAAACTTGGCAAAAAGTTTCGTCTTGGGGCCCTGATTGACCAAAAAAAAAAAGGCCGGCCCTCCGAGGTCCGCAACCGTCCGCCATCTTGGATTTTATGTGAATTTTTTCAATTTTTTACTGTTTTTTTACAGTATCTCTAAAGTTAATAACTTAACGATAAAAATACCTTCTATAAAAATTGAAGATCGTATAATTTGTGACAAGAAAGGTACATTTTTAGCTTAAGAGTACCTAATAGAAAAGCGACAAAGTCCATCCACCGCCATAGTATGTGGAGCCGCTCGCTAATACATGGCGAGTATATACGAAATTTTTCACTTTTTTTCGGTTTTCTTACAATATCTCTAAAACTAATAACCAGGCCCGTACTGGCAGCTGTTATGGGGTGGTTGCAAAAAAATTTAAGGGTGCCTTAATTTTTGTTATTTAATCCTACATATAGGCTATAAGTGAAAGTCCATTAGATTACGATGTTTTATTCTGGTGGCATTTAAGAAGTAGAAGAAAAATAAAAATAAAAAACGTAAATATTGGATTAACCCAGGGTTTCAACAGCTTATGAAATATGGTGCAAATGTCTATGCATCATCATCTATGCAGATGAACTTCATCCATTGCAGTTCAAAAGCTGTTATAGAATTAAAATATAGTTTAAGAACGGAAAAACAAAATGAAAATAGTACAAAAAAAAACTTTTAAAATAATTAAGGATGCCTAACCTAACCTAACCTAACCTACAATGAAAAAAAAAGTGAGTGAAAATAATAATTTCTATGTTAAAAACAAAGTATTCGAAAAAACTAATTGTCAACATTTTGATTTCTGAGGATGAGCATGAGCATGAAGTGTGTAAAAAGTGTGTGTCCTACGTTGCGGACTCCGTGTACCAGGGTCGCACGCGCTACTCGCTACCGTTCTTCGATTTCGGTGACAATGATTGCGATGGCATCAGTAGGTTGTAGCCACGGTTCGGCGGCCATCACGATCGCAATTCGCAGCATACGCTCCTGGTACATGTGTTCCGAACGGCCTCCGTCTAAAACGTTCCTACAACGTCTCTGCAACGTCCTCGAAACATTGGTACCTACCAACGTCCTACTTATCTTTATTATGTGTATGTGGAGACCAGGTATCAAATAATATGGTATTCCTAGGTTACCTCTATTTATTTAGGTATAAAGGTTCAATTATTACTTGATAAGGAATGCTTTTGATATTCCAGTGAAATGCTAGTAGGCTATAATATAGAATTTTGAAACATAATAATATTATAATATAAACATAATCTGATCATACAAATTTTAAAAGATATGAAAATATTGAAAACATTTGATTTTTTTTACAGACAGATAATGGATTTCATTATAATATGTATTTGAATTTAGTCAGAAGTGCGGACTAGCTCAAAGTGTTACTGGTGAACATGATAAAAAATGATAAATTTTCATTGAGTGATGTATACAAATATTAATCACCATTCACCAGGCATATTGCTTAACAATAATGACTAATACATATCAGGCTGATAACAAGGGAAATTCAAAAAAGAAGTAGGTAGATACCTACAGGAAAGCGAAAGACGAAGAGAATAAAAAAAATATCAAGTAGCGAATATCGTGCAATACTAAAAACGTTTGAGTAAAAAAGTAATTTCAGATATTATCTAATTTATATACGAGACTTGACGGAAAAAGGAAAGATGAACATTTTTGAAAAATCGTGGGTGCTAGTTTGGTATGCGCTCTACAGACAAGTTTCTGTTTTTGTATGCGCTCTACGCCTCTACATGCCCAAGTCGTTTTTATTTTATTATTTTCCGTATGCGCCAGCAATAGTGGTCAAGATGGGACTGCAAATGATTTAAAGGAACACCTCTCATTTTCTTTAATAATTTAATTTTTGTGTCCAACCATGACACCTCAATGTTTTGAGCGTGGGCTCCTGTATTTGCATCGACATATGACATTTGGTGATTGACGTTGGTTCAAGTCAGTGAAATGAAAAAATCTGCTGCCAGCTCGTGATGATCTTGTTGTCCGACAGCCTCTTTTTGGACACCGAAAAATGGGCATCCATTCCCATTATGGCATTTCCGTCGTTTTACTTGCATTTCTGTGTCGCATTTATGGCAAGGGGCGTTGCCTTCGGCACTTTTCAACAATCCTTTCTCAACTAGAAAACCATGACAAATGATCTCATTTGCCACTACTGTAGTATAAAACTCACGAAACATCATCACAGCCATCACAATTAACGAATAATACACAAAAAAACAAAATATTATAAAATATTATATTGTTTTACTCGTAATGATACTCGTAAGAGCTGGAAAACGACTGTAATAAAACCTACAGTAGCCAGTAGGTAATAGAATTTAAGGTACAGACAATCAACAATAAGATAATAAAGTCGAAAGAAAAACCCAACATATCATGTATAAAAACGAGGCAGATAACGCATGACCAACCTATTGTAGACCGGCAAAACCTGTAGAGAGCATACCGAACTAACACAATCGTGTTGATTAAAAAAATTGCCTACATGGCTACATCAGATAATATCTACTCTACTTGAAAAATTTTATATTTTTTGAAGATATTTCATGAGATTGCAAACAAACTTTTTAAAGAAAAGTTACTTTTTTTAACAATATTTTGTCGTTATAATTTTTAACTTTTTTGCATTTATAATTTAATTTTCTCTTATCCATTTTCCTAAATACAACTTTTTTTGGTGAATTTCGATATCCATAACTCGAATTTCGAACGAGTAGGTATTTAATTTATTAGTTATAAGAAGTACCTATTTCATATTTAGATGAGTAGAAGAGTGGACAATAATTTTACGGGTACTCTTGTGCCAATCTAATACTCCCCTCGTCTAAACTTTAAGTCACTAATGAACTATACCTACTGGTTTGAAATTCGATCACCTAGCTATTTTGTATTGAAATCATCCAAAAAATATTCTGCTTGAGAATATAATAAAATTAAAAATGCATATTTTTTCGTTCAAGAAGTAAAAAAAGTAAAAACATGAAAACAATAACGATCCAAATTTGAAAATGTTGTATTGCAATGCAATGAAATTATGTACAAAAAAAATTTTCCAAAAAAGTTACGGAAAATAATGAGGATGGAACTGCAGTCTGCAGACACATCAATGAATTCCCTTGTATATTATTCATAAATTAAATAAATACATATATCACTTGTATTTTTATTTGTACATTACAATATTGATTATTAATTATTGATCGCATTATAAATAATAATATAATATTTCTTGTGGCCATTTGGGGAGTAGATAATAACACAATAATTAATTCAAATATTTAAACTGTACGTACAAAATATCACGGATGATAAACAATATCGAAGAAGCCACGTGAAACATAAACACAACGAAAATATGATACAAAAATGTTTTGAGGATTTTAAAATAATAAAAGATTAAATACCGTTTATTGTTTTTACTTTTATTACTATCGTTTTATTATTTATTTTGTGACATATACCTGAGTAAACTAGGTATGCTTTATATGAGACGTCACGCTCACGACATGACGTCAAAGGCACGCGATATTAAATCATAACGAATTTATCAGCTTAAAGGGCATACTATGTATAGTGCTTAAGTGCATACCGTGTTATACTGATATTACTTGGCTCAAAGGAGCGTTCGGTAATAATACCAATCGTTATAAGTTTAAAGACAATAATATGAGCCACTATGATATTAGGTAGGTAGGTATATACGTTGTAATAATTACCGATTCATAGAATCAAACGTTTAAATCAAATCATAATACTTTGTGATGTAATATTATATTAACTACGTCTTAATACATTAAATAATCAGGTAGTACGCGGATTGTGAGTTGTCAATAATTAGACTCAGTACCTATACTATTTGGTAAGATGTACCTACCTGTTAATACCAGTCCATTGACTAGTACTAGTACTAGGAACTAGTATTTATAATCAATGCTAATTGCCTATAATAATATAGTTATTTGAAGGAAAATACTGGTGCTATATAGTTATGATCACCATAGTATTATGATATAAAGGACAATGAAATAATTGCTTTTATCGCTTTAATTAGGTGGTTGAAATCAGAGCTGTTCTTTATCATACGGTAACATCATATTTTATAAGTAGTCTGTGCTGCAGCTTTAGGCCAATACGCCAAACATAAATAACGTGATGCTCATGAATCATGATTAATATAATACAGAATTATTAATAGAATAATAATTGATATAGTTTCTTTTTCAGGGCTTTGTCCTTATTTATTCAAACTTCAAACATAAGAATAAAAATTGAAACAAACATTCAGGTCATACTGTTAATATAATGGTGTAATATGCATGTTAATTATATAGTAGGTACCTGGTACCCTTTCCAGAAAAAACTTTATAATATGAAAACTATAATATGTACTAACACATTTTTGTAAGATTTTGATTAGAATATTATAATTATTATTTCAACTCTCAAAATATTTTATGATTATTATTATACCTAGAATATAAAATGTCCATTTACACTGTTTTCTAGAAAGAAAACCCGTTTCCTACAACCCGAATGGCCAAATATATGCAAGTCAATAATTATTAGGTATCAAAAAACTGACATTATTGAACTCAAAATTGTTTTTAGGGCCCAGAAGCTGAACATTAGCATTTGGGTTCACAATGTCACTGATATAGTTAATATATTTTATGTAATGTAAGTAATTTTTCAAATAATCATTTTCTTATTAAAAAGGCGAATATTTACCTGATTTATGAAGTACTGTAATATTTTACAGGTATTGCTTAATTTCATTAATTTTTCATTCTTTGGATTTCTCAGTTTTTCAAGCTTGTTTAAGATTTAGGAGGACATACCTATTAGAATATTACAGAAACCAATTATATTTTGATAATGAACATTTTTTCTACAAGATAAAAGCAAGATCATCTATGGTCTATATATAAATAATATAATACAGTAAACTGAAAAACGATGTCTCAAAATAGATATTAAATCTATTCTGTGAGATCATAGACCGTATTATATATTGATATTCCTTATGATTTATCACAAAAAATTAAAGTCTTCTAATAACTACTTTGAAATAACTCCAATATAATACCTATGTAGGATGTACCATAATGTGTTCTATATTATACTGTTGATTGTTGTACCTATTTACTAAACCGTAGATTTCTGCAAACATTGAGAACAATTATAAGTTGAAATTCTCAGACCGCTCGAGTGAGTACTTTTGTTATTGTCCTATATATATATATGTATTTGTCATATTTATCACTATTAGGCACTAAGTAGTAGTTGCTAGTATAGTAGTACTTAGCAATTTATTAAAGGTGTTTCAAATCATGTACTTAATGAAAATATTGTTATACATTTTATTTTATAGTTTAAGTTAGTAAGATATAATATATAAATATGTAAAAAAGTACTAATTTATTAATATATAATTATAGATTATTGCATCGATGCGATATATTATATATTTTTTTTAAAAATTAAAATGCTTTTTATGACATATTGTGTAGGTATTAAAATATCAAATTATTTTTCGTTGAAGTGAAATTGTTATACAATTATTGTCCAGTGTCCACTAACTACTATGTCGCTATGCATTTATACACATTATATGCTACAAGTCTACATAATGAATCATTACTAGTTACTACACAGTACCTACTACAACAGTAGTTGTTCATGTATCACTGCAGTCACATACTCACATGACTATGACTTTTACTATAATATGTACTGATAATAAATTATAATTTAAAAGTTAAAACCAAAATGTACCTATATATTAATAATAACTATTAGTACCAGAATGAATTAATTTTATGAGTTACATAATATGGAATAAATAGTATTCAACATTACAAATAATAACTTTTTATTGAATTCGATTAAATATTACAAATTGCGATATATCTTATACGTTAACAAAATATAATTATACATTTTTTTTGCCTTTTCGTATTCATGATGACAAAACGATATTTTAAGTACTTAACACTTAGTTAATATAATTATGTGAAATTTTGAAAATTTTCATAATTTCTTACATCTATAATATTAAACAATAATCTGACTGACGGTTAATAAACAAAAACATTTATACATTTTTTTTTTCAATTTTGTAACCCTTCTATAATATTATTCTTATTATATTAACAAAACCAATTTATAATGTTATTATTATTTAGTATATTTTAGGTAACAAAGTGTGGATATGTTAATATTGAAGGACCTAAAGGTGAGGGCAGAATAAAAATATCCCATTAAGGCACTGTATAAATAATACCTATTATAGTGTTGGCCTCTGGCTGTAACTCTATCGCTAATACCTGTTACTGGCGTGGGTATAAAGTGTTCCTATAATGTCGTAGGAATTTGAATTAATCTTTCAATATCATTCGTTAACAACTGTAAACCTCTTCTACGGAAAATAACAGCAAAATATTGTGCTAATTATATCACTAACATTGTTCCGGTGAAAAATTAAAAGGTTATTGGTCGTCTGCAAGGGTTTGTCAGTGTCACACGTAATATAATGTAATACCGAATAATAAATATTATTATACATTATAAAACAGAGAAAACATAAAACTGTTCACCGGAAAGTCGGAAACGTATAAGTACTACCATTGGCGAAAAATAGGTGGGGGCTTGGGGGGACTTAGTCCCTCCATATTTCTGCCAAGTCCCCCCAGTTCAAAAGTCAGTAATTAGTACTGAGCATATATGATTTTTAGAAAATATTATAGGAAGGGGTTTTAGTCCCCCCAAAATAATTTGTCTATTTGCGCCTATGAGTAGGTACTATATACGTTCATGATATTTATTATGAACCGTTTTTGAACAGTGTCTTCGAATTATATTGTAATATTTTAGTTTTGAAACCAACGGTTTAATTTTCAATGCGAATAAATCGAACTTATTCGTATGTTTTGGAAATGTGTATCGATTTTAAATCTTCTTTATTGCATACGGAGATCCTCAGCATGTGATATGAAACGATGGTAGGTACCTACCTATATAATATAGAGATCTATTTTTAAGTAATAATATACGTAGATATTATTGTTATACATGTTTGATGCAGGTACGTGTGGTGAGTTTATAAAATGGTGCAGTGTGGTCAAAGCTTATAAGGATAAAACGATTTCATATCTTACTTTTACTTACAACAACAAAAAAATAAAAATAATTATTATAATAGTTCATTATTCACATAATATTAAATAATATTAATCTAGTACAATTCCAAACGGTACATTTTTAAACAAAGTGTTTTTTTACAAGCATATAATATATTAATTTTGGCAAACAAAAAATATCCAAATTATACCCTTGTTAATATATATATATAATATATATGTATATTATAAATAATATATAATATCATTATTAACATAATATAATATTATAACATTGTAATATTGTAATTTGTAACGTCATTGTTACAATTTTTTTTTTTATTATTCGTTTGATTATATACGCGTCGGTACGTTGCACATAATAATTAATAATATATTATAATATATATTATACATACGGCGTATTATACATAATTATTATGCATACAACGAATCCCATTAATTTTAAAAACAGAGTAGGTAAGTGGAGTAAATGATTAACAACTACTTGTAAAATACGTCAGATTTTAGTGTGCTTTATATACAAATTGAGTTAATGATATATAGTTACATTGTGTATAACTGCAATGGTTCTTAACGGGCGATTATTATTAGTGATTGTATTTTTGGCGCGTTTGAGATGAAATAATAGTATATTATACAGTTGGTCCTCCCGGGAGCGTATTTTATTTTTCAAAAACACGGAATTGAATATTTTTACAAAATATATTTGTATTCGAAAGCTATGCTGCGATGGGATTTATAGGGTTCTTGAAAAATTATCACCTCAGTGAATGGAACTTGTGTTTGTATACTATGGAACCTAAGTGATATTTTTGGTCTTCATTTAACTTCATCTATGGACGTGAGGTCATCGTACTCTTTGTGGGGAAACGTTATATAATATAATATAGGTATAAGCGAAAAAAAAAAAATCTATTTAAACCAAAACTCAGATTATTGACGATGCACACATCATAATATCTGTAATCAAATATATCTACCTAAAGATGAAGTGTTTCTTAAAATTTGGGTCGAGACCAGTTTTTTTGGGTCACGAATAGTTGTGCGGGTCCAGCCGACAATGGGATTTTATTAATTTTGAAAATATTTTCTTATATTTATAGTGTAATACAAAATAAACAATTTTATTGACACGCACTGTACACACCGCACGGAGGTTCATTAAAAAAAAACCATAGCTTTTCGGAGTGTTGAAATCAACGGAGAACTATTATACTACATTTGGTGGGTGCAATGAACCTCAGTTTCCCATTAAATTTTAATAAAATATTGCTGGAAAATCCGGGTCTCGCATACTCAAAGGTCGAGAAACGCTGCAATGATAATAATAATTCCAACAAAAATAAAAAATGTCGATCGTAAACAAAAATTCTAAAAAACTCCGTCGTCATAATATGTAGTTTGTGTGTCGGGTATGTATGTATGTGTGTGTGTGTGTATGTGTGTGTCGTGAATGTTGAAATAGGTATGTAAAATAATATAAACGTTCACAGTTCGGCCAAGTCGCGGGCGGCTGGTTGCTGCAGGGGCATCGGCGTCGGCTTCAGACGCCCAGCGGTTCACGGCCGCCGCCGTCGTCAGTCAGAGTGCCGCCGGCACGTGCACTTGACGATCCATTCGACGTCCACGTACACGCTGTGCACGTAATCGTCGGCTGTGGCCGAGAAGGGCCTGCGGACGGGTTCCCAGAGGTCGTCGCCTGGCACAGCGCCGTCCAGCCGGTCGTGGCCCTCCACCGGGCTCCGGCACAGGAACTCCACTTTGACCGTGGTGCTGAGCTCGGGGGCACAAACGATACCGTTAACACTGTTGCCGTCACCTCCACCACCACCACTCGCCGACGGGCACGCGCCGCCACACCGCTTCGGGTGAAATGTCTTCCGGCTCCGGCAGTCGCCGAACTTCAGCCGGACCGGTGTCGTCGACTTGATCGTCGCCTTGCACTCGTGTCCCTTCTGCGGAATCAGATGGGCAAAACAAATATATAGATAAGAAAACGTAGTAGACCTCAGTGGCGTATCCAGGAAGGGAGTGGAGGTGGGTCTGATAAGTTACATATTATTACACTATAAAAAAGAAACCATTATGACTACAAAATTAGTGTTTAAAATAACTATATAATATACAATACTCAGCACCATCTGCAGTATACGTCACTGGTGGACCCGAGGTAGTTTTAAAGCTTCAGGTCGATGGCCCAAACTATTTACGATGGCAATAATAATAACCTTAATGTAATATTATTAGAGGTAGGTTCTTGAACTCTTCGAACCATCCGTAACATTTTAGAATGATATAAGTTCGAATTCAAAAGCTACGAACGATTTGAATAGTTTGAGCAAAATAATTTTCGTTATATTTTTGTATTGATAGTAAATATAAATTATTGTTGTTAGTTACAACTTACAACTTACAATTATTACTATACATCTACTTTACAATGGTAAAAATAGTTTTAGCTCATACATTTTTATTAACCTGAATGTTTCAAATACATTTTAGTTGAAAGTAAATTATTTTATTTTTAAGTTTGGGTTTGAAAATAATTCAAATTACAGTTAGAGTTCAGAAAGGTTGAATATTTTGTTAACAATATTTTTAATTACACAATCATTATTAATACCTAAATTTGTTTTATATTTATACTTGGATGTTCTATATACTTCTATTGATATGAGTACAGGACACGCGTGGCCATAAAGTTACTGAGTAATATTTTTTTTTGTTTTATAAGTCCAATTTTATATCCCAGAGTAGACAATTTTTTTATGAGCTTTGTTATACCAGAGTTTTGTGAGGAATCCTTTGCTACTTAAATAAACGCTTGCTCTTGTCAAAATCATTAAAAATAGAAGTTATCGATAAATTTAGTAATAATGTTGGTCGCTGTAAAAACATATTAAAATTTTACGTTCCTATAAAAACACAAAAACTAACTAGTATTGGTGACTATGTATTATAGTATATCCAAACAATTCACCAAGAATAATATAAATAACAATTATGGAGGATAAATGTGTGAATTTCAAGTTATTCCACTAATATAACTACCCTGGTGTAAATTGTATGGATATTAATTTAAAATTGTATTCGAAATGGGTGATTATTTTTAAATAAAAAAAATTAATTTTAAGGAACTAACAGCCATGGATAATATTATATTCATAATTATAAAACATTGTATTCAAGTGTGATCGAAGAGCCAAAGTTAACAATGCAGGTGAAGGTTATGCAATTAAGGTATCATTACCAATAATATACCTAAACAATATTAATGACAAAACATAATATGACAAATTATATATTTTATAGTTATTACAACATTAATATAAGCTTAATAACATTATAATATTATAATCATAATGGTATAACTGGTAATTTCGAATACTATAATGTACATTAGTTTCCTCTATAAGAATGTCTAATTCATGTGCCCCTAAAATGCCTATCCATAACGCCGTGTTATAATTTTGCTATCTTGGTGCAAAAATCGCGTGTTATAGTGGTTTCACTTAACATAATTAGTATCACCTTCTTTAAAATTGAAAAATGTGTTCATATTCATTAGGTTATATTATAATTAATAATATATACTCAATAAGGTTTGAAAAAATAAAAATTAGATAAATTAAGGCAATAATTGCATTTTGTTTGTATTCGAATTCATTATTGTGCGATTTCTCCATTAGGACATGAATCGAACGAATCCGGGGGAACTGGAATAATTGAAATACACATTTGAATGCCGATCCCACATAATTGATTGTTCTTATTTTTTTATTCGTATGAAATTTATTTCGGCAAAATCGCTGTTACGTGTATTATTTTTTGTGGTAACGAATTTCACGCGCAGTTACCGTAGTAAATCGTATTACACCGGTGTGCTTACAATTTATCTGCATAAACGTTGGGACAATCGAATTTATATAGCCGTGTTTTGTAAAATGCAATTGAAAACTGTTAATATAGTGTCGTTAAAATATTATGATGACGAACTTTAATAATACCTACCGGCCACTGAGTTATCAGTGGCGTATGCAGTATTTTTCAATGAGGGGGGGGGGGTTGAAAACTAGTTAAATTTTTTTTTTTTTGTCCAGTCTAATAATTTTAGAATTTTATTTGAGGTATCTTAAAATGTTTGTAACTACTGAACTTTTCTTTTAGAAAAAATGCTCTGATCATAAACTTCGATGCCCGATGTATGCTTTTGGAAGCAAATTGGATCTAGTTGGTACTTTTAGGAGGTCGAAATTTAAAATGCTCAGTGCGTTTAAAATAATTGGAAAAAAAAATAAAAATTAATTAAAATTGTTTGGTAACCAGATTGGTTATACCGTCATCACTTGGATTGTATTTGATTAATTAAAATTTTTTTTTCTACAAATGTCAATAAAAAATTATTTATCCGGTCAAAAATCTTAAAAATGTAATACTTAAGTTTTTATTATAGCTTAAATATTAATGAAACATAGGCATCATGGTTATTTTTTATAAGCATTTAAAGTTAAAATTTCGTCAAAATCACAGTTAATTTGTAGTCTAAAACTTATAAAATATTAAATGTCTATAGTTAATAAGGTTAGACAATTTGATAAAAGGTCTTTCATACAAGTAGCTTATACTTTTACCGAAAAATTACAGATAGTTTATGAATATTGGTATGCAAATACAATGTTTTTTCGAAAATTAATTCATTGCGGTAAGACATAATATATGAAATGTACGCCTTGCTTACTATAGTTGACAGTTGAAACTTGATAAATATATTTTTTTTAAAGTAATAATAATTACAGGCAATTGGGGGGAGGCTTCAGTCCGATACCCCCCCCCCCCCCCCCCCCCCCCTTCGTGCGCCACTGTGCGTTATACTGTGGTATAGGATATTTACTAGGAAAGCCATGAAAATGAATATTTTATTATTATTGAAAGCTGGTAAAAATATACAATAAAATATTAAAATAATAATGTTAAGTCTTTGTCGTCGAGAAAAGCGGATATGATGATGAAAAAAATAAAAGTTGAGACTCATTACAGAAAGTATAAATAAACGTTATAATAATTTATTTAGCTGTGTGCGTATTCGTAGCATATAATCATCGTTTGTGACTTCGACAGAGGTAATTTCTAAATGGACAGAATGCTAACACCCAACAAAAAGACTGAAGAGTGGATATAATATATTCAAAGTAGACAATTTAGTTGTAAGAAGAGGATATTAAATGGAACGCGTGTGTCGTATATAGTATTACAAAGGTGGCTGCAAGGAATTTGCGGTCAAAGAAACACGTATATATATAGAGAAACCGCTGTAGTACTGTTAGCTGTGGGGTAGTATAGGCACTTTATATAACCTGTGACAGAAGCCAAATAGGCTAGTCGGTAGAATAGACATTTTGTCGTATATTCATTCACTTAGACACCGCCAATGTGACTTGGCTACTTTAGAATCTATTATTTAAAATACTCATCTACATGGTAAATGAGTTGAGTTTGGTAAGACTATTTTTGCATTGGCTATCGTAAACAGTGATGAAATATGTAAAAATTTAATCATGCAAATGATAGTTAAAAAAACACCGTGGTTAATATAACGTCCTAAAAAATAAAAATAAAAATGTTGAAATATTGTTTGACTATTATAATCACGTTTGTGTCCGTTTTTTTTATCGTACATTTTTCATATTTGAAATGATGTACATAAAAGTCATTCTAATTATTATGATGTAAATTTACCCTTCATTGACCATAGTAATTTTATTTTTAATTAGTTGCATTCATTCGTGTGCGTATCGTGGTTTTATACCCCGTGCACGAAGAGAATATTAAAGTGAACATGGTTTATTTTTATTTTCTTAAATGTGGTGTGGGTTTAAAAATATAGAACTGATTCTCTGCAGAACAGTTTGAAACGTGTCTTTGTGTTTGGCAAAAATAAAATATTTCAATAAATTATTATTATACCCAGGCCTTAAAATGAATAAAAATATATCCTCTACGATCGTTATCGGTAAAAGTTTTGTCGCTAACGCCGTAAGTAACTTTTATGATTTCCAAAAGAGTATAATAATATATATATATATAATATATGTAGACATAGGAAATAAAAGAACAAACTAATTTCTATTCAGATTGAATCCGAGACGTAAAAGTTGTCTACCGACTTTTCGGACTCGGACAGGAATATTTTTGATTCATTGTCTTTTCATCCCCTCTATCACTGTTCCCTTTCGGTACGCCCATTAGTCTGCCCTGCCAGAAGCAACTTGTCCACGCGAACGGGACGGGGGGAGGTTAAAATAAAAGGTAAACACGACCCGCGACGACAAATACTGTAGACGTGACGTGCAATAGTAAGGCATTCAAATTTTCCCCTTCTCCATCTCTCACGTCGCAGCATTCGACCAGATGTTTCAGTCGTGAAAAATTGTATTATTTTCTATCCTTCAATGCATGAGGGTTCTGAACATGAATAATGGAATTCGCATTAAAAAAAAAAATTATTTATCAGGACGATGATGGGATGACGGTGGTTGGTCGGGCGCATTACCATCAAGGTGGCCGTGCACGTACTCCTCCGTCTCGTTGGTTTTAAATCTACGTAGAACGTTCTTATTTTATTTCATTTAACCATTCAGTTTTTACAACTCGTATACGTCGTATGGATATTGAACGATATAACGATATAACGTATTTTATTTTACTTTTTACCACTAATGGCAAGTTTCACGTGATGTCGGGGTTTTCATCAAACACGTACAAGTATTAGAAATAAAACCAGAAAAAAACTGTTTAAGTTGGCTCAACGTAATTTGGTCATTAAAACAATATTCATTTCAAATTTCTTTAAAAAAAGTACATAAAAAATAAATTCTAATTATATATTGTATGATATTATTATATGTTTTATTTGAATGGGTGTGGTACATTTATATTATATTAGAACATCATTGTATACACGCAGGCACATAAAATAATTAATATTTCTGGTTTTTAATTGAATTATAATTTATGCACATTGCGTTAAGTTAACTACGTAAATCACTCATTGGCGAGGTAATGTATAAAAAAAAAGTGTAAACGAGTTGATGATGGAGCTTTGGTAAAATCTAAAAGCCTACTTCTGCAGGCTTTAAAATGAAAAGTGACTGTGCGTGAGTTAGTGTACACCAAAATAATAATATATTCTATTAATTTGTATGCCTTGTGATATTATTTTTTCTGATACTAACACGAATAAATATAATATTATGTACTACAAAGTTGTGCAATTCAGTTTGAGTTAAATTTAAAAATGTTATTCACAAATTTCTTAATATTGATTTTAGTGACAATTTAAAATTTAAAATGTTTAATAATCTTCTCACATAATTTTTCAATCAAAATTCGAAATAGTAATTAATTATTAAAATAAAATAATGTAAATTGATTAATTATGGTGCATTATGACAATGGAAGAAATAAGGATTTTAAATTATAGTAAAATATGTTAATTAAAATATACATTTATTCCAAGCAAACTAAAAGTCGGAGTATCTATTGTTTCTGTGATAATTATAACAATTGTAATAAATTCAAAAATACGTAGTATTTCAATCGAATTTTGATTTATGAATTTATGATTACATTAAATTGCTTCAGAGATATTTAAGTGTTTCAAGTCGTTTGTCACAACTCTAAATATTTGCATTTTGTGGCATTTTTTTTAAACGGATCATAATGTAGGGACGAATTTTCATCACAAATCTTTACAGTGGAAACATAATTTTATACATCAAAACATTTTATTAGGTATATTATGTTAAAGAGTCTAAATGCGTCAATACGTCTGAATGTTGTTTTTAGATTTTCTTGAAAGTTTTTGTTTTTAATCTGGTTTGTAAAATTATATTGAAGAAATTCGCACTAATGTAATTCAAATTTTTATTTTCAAAAAGTTAACATATTATTATTATAATTTAAGCATAAAATGCAAATGTCCATAAATTAATTGGTCACTTAAAATGTTTAGAAATTAATGAGTTTTCCTTTTAATTAATATTGTTTTTGTACTTATCTATGAGTTATAAATATTTACAATCATAATATTAAAATTTACTATCTATAAATTAAGCTCATTTTAGTACTTAGCATATAAATTCATTTTATTAACTTTATAAGTAAGATTAAAGCTCAAGGCCAAATAATAATATTATAATCTTTTTTTTTAGTAATTTATTGAAATGTATAATATTTACATAATAATATAGCTTATAATAAATTAATGGTTGGATATATATACAGCGCCATAGCGGTTGTGTATTAGGTACCTACATGGTCTGGGTGCTATAACTCAAATGGTTTATATGAAATATAATAAAAATATATTTGTGCATGAAATCGATTACTAATAACTGTAGGGCTAGGATTTATATGCATTTGCATGTTTTTTTCCTTAAGTCCAAATTGATTGTTTGTCAGATTTGTCCACGTTTTTGATTACTCTCGTTTAAATAAAATCAATTATTATATATATATTTTTGCATATTTTGAACACAATGCATATAATTGCATATTTATAGATTTTTGAGTTTTTATTTTTTTTAACTTAAATTTTTAAATTTTTATAGTTTATTGTTAATTTTAAATGGCGTTTATTTCATAATACCGATAGTTTTTGGTTTTTCCGTCGAATTGTAAATATATAGTATAAATATTACCCATCTAATCTTATCTTGGTCGGACGACCGATAGGATTACCTACACATTATTTAACGACGTGTGTTGCGTAAATGTGCGGACACTTATACTTAAAAATTTGAGTGGTTTTAACAACAGCATAGAATTATAAACGGTGAATATGAAAATGAAGAAGAATATATTAATATTAATCTAATTCCAGGGAAAATCGCGTCATTCAAATATGCACCAATAACATCGAGTGATGTAGAAAGGAGTTTTAGTCAGTATAAATCTATTCTACGTTGAAATCGCCGGTCGTTCGTATTTGAAAATTTGAAACATCATAGTAGCGTGTAATAATATAAACTAATATTTAATGTAATTATATAAACTTATATTTAATGTAATAATAATAAATTATGAATTATAATAAAAATATATATCTAGAAACAATAAAAATTTGTTTTTGCATATTTTTGCATATTTTACAATTTGTTATTGCATATAAATCCTAGCCCTACTAATAAGTAATAAGTACCTAGTATTATTATTTAGTTGGCCATGATTAACCTTCGTTTTTTTTTTAAAATGAAAATGTAAATTTAAATGAAAACTATTTTGATTTTACCATAAACACTATTAATTTGACATTATTGTTAATGTTCATATTATTACATTGTGATACCGTGATTGTAAAATAGTATGATATTATGCTTACTCTAATGTGGTGGTGTCTTGCATATTTAGCATTCACCAGTGGTGGTGAGTGACACGGCCTTATTTGGCAAAGTCTGGTTTCGTTATTAGGCTTACAAGCTTCATTTGCATTAGACATGCGCCTAGAAAGGCCTAATCCACACTGGGATGAACATTCCGCCCATGGTGTGACTAATGCTTCACAATTTGGCGGCCTTTCCACTAAAAAAAAATAATATATGTATAGTAATTAGAAATATAATATTTTAGTATAAGTATATAATATTAATTTATATTATTAGTATTCCATGAACCTAATACAATATTGAAAAAGTGATGCAACATCTTCAATTATTAATAATTTTTGATAACTCATGAAATAATTTGAATACTAACAATATTTGTGTAATAAACAGTTGTGTAATTTAATTTATTAGTTAGGTACTTCGTCAGTCAGTGGAGTCACTTTATTTTCAAATATTCCTATGGCTACTCCGTGCTTAAACTGGGTTCGTTTTTAATGAATCGTAAATAATTTATCTTTTATTTTTACTATTTCGTCTTTAAGTAAAACTTAACGATTTATTGTGGGTATTTTAATCTCATCAATTGTTCAAAATTTGTCGTGACCGGGATGGTTTATCAATCAATTTCGTGTTCGGCATGCTCGAGGCTTATCCGGTCGATTGAATTCAATCTCGGTCTCGAGCATGGTGTGTTCCAAAGTGACAAGAACCTTAAAAATTCATCAAATACACGGTTAAGCTATAAATTATTCATCGTCGGCCATTACTTTTTCCGGTCCATCTAGACTGGCGACGAAGAAAAGAGCATAGGAATTATTAAAGAGGCGTAAAATAAACAATATATGTGTGTTGCAAGTAAAGAATAAAAGGGGAAAAAAAGAAATTCTGGCAAAAGAAACGTTAATTTGAAATGTGTATTTTGCAACTATTTCGCTTTCTTTTCCCTGTGTCACTAAATGATTCAAATCCTTTAGATCTTTGCATGCGGAACCCAATTTATGTTCTAATCCCGTCACGTTTCCATCACATTAGCCTAGACGCTAAGCGTGCGTGTACGATCTAACATGACTTTAGTTGGTATGTGACGCGTGTATATGCTTAATTACCGTCTTAGCTGCGGAAGAGCTAGGAACAAATAAAATGTGCGCACCGGATTTTGAACTGACGTAATACATACGAAAATTCTAGTGTAAATATTATACACACACACACACACACACATACACATATATATATGTATATACATAGATATATTGTAAAATGCCTTTGAAAACTTGATTTATTATATGATTAAAGGAAATGGTCTAACGAAATTTGTTCCACATGTGAACATAATATTATAATCCTATGGAATGATTTTATTTAAATTATTATCTTACGATGGTGAGGGGGTTTTTTAATTTAAAATTTACATTCGTTGGAGATTTATAGTTTGAAAAAAATACCATTATTTTAATATTGTTATTTTTATTATTATTATTATTTTTAAATTAGTTTGTTTAATAAAAATGTACCTACAACCTATACGAGTGAGTGTGAGTGCAATAAGTAAATGAGTGAATACAAAATTAGGTGGTGAAAATAGAGAACATTATGTAGGCGTTTCACATTAGAAATGCCTGAGTTTGTTATTTAGAACAATATTATACATAATATACAGGTACCTACAATAAGTACTTTGTATGTTTGAAGTTAAAGTTGGTAGAACAGTATTATTTGTGCACACAACAACACTATTTAAAAATGATAATAATAACTCTTTGGTGTACATTTTTAAATTATTTTTACCATATTTTTATCAAAAACAAAAAATGATTTTTTTTGTAATTTACATAGAAAATATCTTTAAATAATCTGTGTAGTGTGTATACAACAGAAATTTTAAATTAGCGTTATAAGGTTAATATTACTTAATATTACAATCCCTTTTAGTAAATATTATACCGTGCCACACGCCAGTCATCTTGTCATGGCATTCATGATTTTTCTTATATTTTGAAATTTGGCAATTTTGTATATTTTAGTTTATGATGAAAGTTTTATGCAGTTTCTTTCGAAGAATTATTAAAATTAAAAACAATTTCGGACCTTTTGAAGCACTGAACATAACATTTTATAGTTGCTTTTAAGTTTAATATTATTTAATACATTTTAAGTCAGATTTTCAATATGGTGTAGGTACGACGTATTATTTTTTCAATAAAAATGTTCATAATGCTCCCAGATGAATTATTATCTTAAACAAAAGCAGACTATAGTACTATACACACATAAAAAAATATTTTTAATTTTCACACAGTTAACTTGATTGCCCACGATTTGTCTGAAAAATATGAATAATCAATTATAAATATTATAACGGCAAATCTGTACGGTTACTTGGAGCCATACAAGTCGATTAGTTTTACTTTTATATTGTGTACTTCGTGTGTTCTGTAGTTGTATTTATTTTTAATAGTACAACGGAAACCTTGATTTTAGTTGCCAGGAAGTAATTTTATTTTTCTCACGGAAATCAAAAAGCTGGTTTGTTAGTTTGTTCGGGTGTTCAATATTGCTCTGTCAATAGACTTGGTCATCAATAAAGTAGTATAGTAAATCGAAAACGACAACTAAGTCAAATATCAGTTGATGATATAGTTTTTAATCGAAATTGTAATAAAATTAAATATTTAACGAATGAATGAATTTCATTACGTCGGATGGCGTGCGCTGCAGGTACTTACCCATGTACCCACAAGGACGATAACGTTTTGTGGATATGTATACGACTACTGTTGTTCCGGGAAAACTCGTAGGTAGTTTAATATTATTATAAGTTCCACTGGCGAGACAATATTTTACGTTGTTAATCGCATAACAACATGGTATAATATAGTTATAGGTACTTTACCGCAGTGCAGAACACGAATAATGGATACGGTGCGGATAAAACGCAATAATAATATAATAATAATATATTAATCGTTATCATAAATGTATAACGAAGACGCGCTTTTCCGTTTCGCTGGGGATGAGACCGCGAATCGTGTCTGCCCGACTCGTGTGGTCGGACGATAGAGACGGAGAGACGCGATCGCAGCTAGGGCGACCGAGAACGAAGGATTTGTGGCGTATGTTATAAGTGCTCCACTCGCGTGCACGGTTTTTAAAAGCTCTCTCTCTCTCTCTCTCTCTCTCTCTCTCTGCCTTCCTTGGCTGCTGTCTACGCTATTCCGGTTCGAAGGGCTCTTTTGAAATTGAACGTGACGTCGCATATAAGCGCCGCACAAAGGTGCATGTGTGCGTGTGTTTGTGTGTGTGTGTGTGTGTGTGTGTGTTTGTGTGTGTGTGTGTGTGTGTGTGTGTGTGTGTGTGTGTGTGTGTGTGTGTGTGTGTGTGTGTGTGTGTGTGTGTGTGTGTGTGTGTGTGTGTGTGTGTGTGTGTGTGTGTGTGTGTGACCATTTGAAACATTGATCGAAACCCACCGCCTCCGTAATCTCTGAAAAGACGTTATCAATTCGTCGTCACCACGTCATGCTCGAATGCGATCCTCAGACGCGTTGTTTCAGGACACTATGATATTATTATACAATGTAATTTCCTGTTTATACCAATCTCTCGTAAAAATCGTTTTGTTTCGTTTTTATCTTGACCTGTCATGTGTTGTTCCTGGGACATGGTTAAATTAACCTTCCACGAAAAAAGAAAAGCGAACACGAAAATATTATTGTACCAATGGAAGTCGGAATGAAACAGTTCCTAAGATACCCGCAAGTCTCTATCGGTGGAATTAAAAATAATTTTTCTGCTATGCCCGCTCCAAAAGTGTAATTTTCGATGGAGTTCGAAGCATTCTATAATGACCCTTTTTCGTCTAGCGGACAGTAAATGGTTTTTTTTCCCACCTTGGAAAAGTGAAAATCCCCGCTTCTGTCCAAATCATATTATTATAGTACATGAATACTTTCTGGCAGGAGTGTTACTCCCGTGCTGTTCTGTGAAGTATTTTGGTGCATCTAGATATCGATTACCGAGAACGGAAAGAACAGTCCGTTATGGAGTACCTAGGTATACCGTAATATCGATAGGGGCGTTTTCCGAGGTGGCAGACGTGTAACAAAAAATAGTATCTATATATGTGGCTCGTGCGGGAATGCAATTTCAGTCTTGGGCTTTCGGCCCTCAGCTGCGTCTCATGCCATAAACGTTTCCCCAGATTGAAATAGCTCACTTCCCACTCTTATGGCACAATATTATATTATTGCTGTCGATTTTAAATCGATAGTTTTATACCTATTTCAGGGTTAATGTATTTTTATATGATCATATTATTGTTTTATTCTTAATGACTTAATATTTTTCGTTGTGTATAATAATATTAGTGTTGTAAACATATTAATTTATGTTTCGAATCACAATAAAATGTGTATACTGTACATCACTTACTATTTACGTTATCACACATCCATTCCCTGCAGCACTGTCCGGGCACTTCGACCAACCGGGGATGCCTGCAAAGTCCTTGAGGAGATATATTTTCTTGTGGACACAACGACGCACAGGCATAAGTGCCGTTCTGGAAAAACAATTAATCGAACTGATATGAATGACTATTCTGTTTTATGAAAACACTAAAATAAAATACATTATAGATTATATAAATTATTATATAGTTATGGTAGAAAGTAGAAACTACAACTTATGTATTGTTGGCTCTTGTCCAGGAATATTCGAAATGTACGTATATACGTATAGGTACAGAAACTTTCTATTAGGTTTCATATTTTATTGCCATGACAAATAGCACAATGGAAAGTTTTTATGATTATAATAATATGTCATCATTTAATTCAATTGGAAAAGGAATTCAACAGCAATAATAACCACTTCAGTCCCATAAATAAAAACGAATCAGATCTATATATACGATGATTCGATTGTTATTATTATTACGACCAGCACCTTTGTCGCAATAAAAGATACACATAATCTTGAACAAAATATTATTAGGTATATAAATGTCACCCGCTAAATTATATAGAAACACAGACTTCGACGCCACTATGGCAAACCTAATGCAAGGTAATATTGCTCTCGGCAAGCTGTAAACGATATAAGGGGTTTACTGCTAAATAAGAGTTTTTCAAGTCTTGCCAGTTTTGGAAATTGTCTGGAAAATAATTACGTTCAAGTATCCGAGAAAATGTGTGTTAGAATAGGATATTTTAAATCTGCACTTTATTTCGAGGCGTTCATGCGTATCTAGGTATTATTGCAAAGTTAAGAACTTTTAGACAAACATATCGAATCTATATGTTTATCTGTTGACATAATATTAACTAAATCATAAAGTATGATTCATTATACCCCTAATCTTTATATTAATTACATTTATAATTGTGACAAATCTGAAACTTTGTATACACAAAATAGTATATTAAATGAACACATATTAAACTTGTAGGTATAACTACTGTTTATGTCACATATTATAATGAAATAGGAGACAAGTGTGGCTAGGTGTTTGATCTCAGTCTCTAACGTGTTCTGAGGTCAACCATCGGTAGTCGCTAGTTCCCGGATGGGATCACACGGGGTTTTAGTGACGAATCCTAGCCCCACATACACTTGTTCCTCAACCGACCATTAACCCTCTACAAAATATTAATGTTCATAGTTTCCGATGCTTAAGGTCAATTAAAAATATATATATATTTATATATTGTATTACAATTATTGAATAATAATTAATTTGGACATTTGTTAACCCTTTTGATATCGCTAAATTTTTTTTTGTAATATTAAAATACAAAATATAATTGTATTATATTTCAGACATTTTTGTTGTTCGATTAAGATATTCAATATAAAATCAATTATTTTCCTTCTTTAAGTATAATATTTTAATGGTTTTTAAAAATGTGTCTTGTTAATGGGATTGTAGATAAACTTTACAGATCTCCATTGTATATATATAAAAGAGAATACTTTTAGTTTTAAAACCAATTATTTTATTCAAAATAGTTCGATTACTAATATTAGTTTAATTTAATTATTCCTAATTTCTAGAAACTTTGTTTAGTTTAATGTAGGTACTTAACATGTGAATTATGCATATAAATCGTAGGTATGTAACTATATATCCTATGTTTATCCAAATAATTTTAGAATGGTTATTATCTTATTTGTTTTTGTAAGTGAACTGTGGTCACGCAATAAGAGCTCACATCGGTGGCTTACTTCCCTTAAGTTAAGGAAGGACTCCATGTGACCCAATATATCAATTTTATTATTGATCTCCATACAAATACAACCATATTATTGATGTTATTAAATGATATAAAAATTAGTAAAATTAAAACGTGTACTTTTGTATCATAATAATATTGTATGCTTTATGTACGGTTGTCTCATTTTAATAGTTTCTAAAAATATGATAGTTTCATTCATTATAAATAATAAATAAATGAAAAAGATTCAGTGGTGGTGGTAATATATGTCCCGCTGTATTTTACCAATAAAATCTACTCAAAATTATATATTATTTAAATGATATATTTCCAATAATATATGATAATATATAATTCGATATCGTTATTCTTTAATAAGTACATTTAAAAAATATCTTTTATATTGAGGAAGCTCAAATTTGAAAAACTGTCTTGCAACATGCTCATTTCAAAGCCCCAAAAGGCTTACTTTTTAATATGATATATTTAGGAGCTTAAAGCCTCTGACTCTGATAAAAAATTCTTAAACACTTCAGTGACTGGCTTGAATTTATGACGCTTTTATTTTTATTATTATTATGATTTTAAATCGAAGGTATTGGTGTAATAGACCATACATTATATTTTTAATATTTTATTTCAGCAATTGGTCGGAAAAGTACATATTTGAGTTGAGACTTGAGAATACTAAATTTGTTAGAGCGTTAGTTATATATACTGGAATAAGTCAAACTTGAAAGAATCTTTTGAAAATGTCTATAGGCCAATCTTTGATCTTTTTTGAATTTTATATCGAACGATACATACTACTTATTTACCAATTTATATAATAGCTTTTTCAAAAGATAGTAACAAAGTAAAAATATATCAATCGATGACAAATGTAGTTAAATTTGTAGTCTCATGTTTTATTTTGGTCTTATATTTTCTTTAAAAGGTATTACGATAATAGGTACGTAAGTACCTATAAGTACCTACCTTAACGTAGTGGTAGCTTAGCTTTATAATATTTGAATAAAACAGAACTTGAATAAAAAAATTAATTTAAAAGTGCTACCATAGTTTTTTGTTGTTGTGAAATTTAGTTAAAAATATTGTAGCAATGATTTAACTGTTAAAATTATTCAAGAACTCAGATTTTTAGCGAAAATATAAACATTAATGTCAAACTCTTTATTTTATTTGAAATTGGATACTAAAACCATGTATTATGAACATTAATTATAATATGTATTGTTGTATTCTGGTTCTTAGATCATAATACAATTAATGAAACATGGTATTTAGTATTTACCACAGAAATTAAAACATAACATCTAAATATTGAATAGATAATAATTTAATAAACATTAGGTATTTAAATTAAATTGTTAATTTTTTATCAAAACATAAATCATGGTTGCTAATTGTAAATGCAAATATATATTAATTTGTTTTAAACTAGTCAAAAATTGCAGAGTGATCGAGTTACACTACTTTAATTACAAACGCAAATAAATGTATATGTTTGGTGAGTTTCACGTTTAACTTAAAGCAATCATTTTTTTCTTAAGAAATCATTCGACACTGGAGTTTCATGGACATTTTTAATCGTTTTATAGAACAATATGCGGAAACGTATTGTTTATCAACAATATGTATAACACCATTTCAAAAATACCATGATAATATTATGTCGGTACATTATAATAATTTTTGTTTTTTAAATTGTACATGATTTATAAAAAACAGTCGGTCTTAAAGAAAAACGTAAATGTTTTGTCTCGAGATGAATACTTTTTGTCGACTTAAATAAAAATAAAAATAAATATTACAATAAATGTGTTTCTGGTAAAGAAAGTGAAGTATTAAATTGTAGTGGTAAATAAATTATGAATTATTTATCAATTACCTGACATGTGCACTGCGTTCTGCAATCTAGCCTGAATGTTTCTCCGTTGTCGTACGTCTTGTTGTATACCGTACACGGCAAGCCTTTTACTACTGAAAAGAAAATGCAAATTATAATAAACAACATACAATAAACATTTTTAATTTTCAATAAATTATTATACAACAGATTTGTCTTGCGGTTTTAAAATTCAGATTTGTTAGATGATTATCTAAGTATGGTTGTTTGTTGTTTGTAATATTTGGTTCTATAATATATGCCGATGCGATTTACTATCATTACGAATAACATGTTAAAAACTACTCAACCGATCAAATATTTGTACGAGGATTCAACGAATTATTTAACTTTTTTTTCAAATAAAGTGGCTACTACCTTTTAATAGTTTTTAATACTCATTTAGAGTAATATTGAGCAGTAAACATACCAAAAAAAGTCGTGTCTAAAATAATACATAGTGGAAAATTGTTTAAGAGTAAAAGCTTTCGAGTTTAAATCCAATGAGTAAAAAATGTTATGACAAACCTTTATATAGTTTTAGAAGTTATTTAATACTTTTTTTTACATGATTTTAATATTAAAAAAAAATATATTACGTTTTGAATAAATTTGGAATAACCTAGAGAACCAGTGATTGGTGAATTAGTTTAATTGTTCCTTATACAGTTATATACAATTATGTTCAAGATAATAAATTTAGGTTTGATGTTGAAGTAAAAATCATAATATATATATCATGCAATATGTAAATCGAAAATATTGTATTTATGTATGTTTTAAATATAAAACACATTTATTACAGGGGGACGAGGTGGCCGAGCGGTCGGACACGTCGTCTGCGGCGCTGGCGGTCGCGGGTTCGATCCTCTCGACCACTGGGCGGTATTTTTCTCCGGGCAAGTCACGGTGTCCGGAGAACAAGTGCCGCCATCCCCCACTCCGGGGCATGGCAGAAACCTACGGGTGCCCCATTCAAAATTCTGCCAAACCCAACACACACGTGTTCCTCCCCCTACCGACATAACAACACACAAATAAACCAATACAGCTAATGGCCATAGTTGCCGAAGCTTAAGATCAATAAAAAAAAAAAAAAAAAAACATTTATTACAACTTGATCACATCTCATATCATTATTTCTAGGAGACTACATGAAATATCATTACATTTTTTTATATTATTTATGTTTTACCTGTAATTTGTATGATATAATATACATTTCTTTGTATACCTAGTAAGAATAATTTTTTGTTTTAGTTGTTGTTAATTTTGAAAACGCGTATTCTTGAAAGAGAAATCCCTCATTAGCGGCACTTTTATCTGTGGAATTTTACTGTAATAGGTTGCCACACCATTTCATTTCGAAACTTCAATGAGGTTTTTTTGGCGTAATTTCTACAGCTAACATAGGCCTACAATCGAGTTTTGGTGGTTTAGAAATGAACATTGGTAGCGATGGTATATAGACAGATGGCTGTGTCTTCTACCATTTGCATATGGTTATCGAAATGTGAATCGTTTGATTTGCAGAACAATAGATGCAGTACATCCATAATATGGGCTTGATATAGAGCTTGTAAAGATATAGTATGATGTACACGAGAAGTTTGGAAGAGATTTGAATAATATATTAATATTTTTCTTGTTTAGTCAGATTTTCTTTTTGTTTAATATACTTTGGGATCAAGTATTATGATTGTCATCCTTTAAAAATATATATTAATTCTTTACCAATATCTATTAATTAAAATGCGAGATAGTATTTATTTAGTAAAGTTGACTTAGGTTTATTTAGTTCTTGTTCTATGTGAGTTTCAACTCTCAAAGCTAATTTAACTAAATCTATATTTCAATATTTTCTATTTGTAAATTAATTTTCTTTACATTTATATTCATAGTTATACTGCAGCTACAACGCTTATATATTACCTACTATTTAAATTTAGAATTACTTATTGATGTTGAGTCTTTACAAAAAAAAATACCACTATATTATATTTATGTTTTCTACAGGTGTTTTACGTGCTACGCAGTAAATATTTTTCTGGACAACAATTTAATAATTTTATCAAGTGATTAGGAGAAGAAATGAGGCAATGAAAAAGGAAAAATAATTGAATCTAGTAGGTATAGTATGACAGTAATATCCATAGGTTGTGGGTTTTATAAGCTGAACTAAAAGTTAATTTCGTCTCTCGGGATCATGAATAATTAAAATCAAAAAAAATCTGCAGTTGGGTAATAATAATAAGACTCAAGATAATAATAATAATAAAAAAAAATAATCTTAATAAACTTTTATTATTCTTTAAGTACTTTTTTCCACAGACCGAGAAAATGAACGTGATTTGATAGCACGACACTTGGAGCTTAAAAACGACACTTAATTTACATACAATTAAAATCTATTTCCTACATTTTCAATGTAACGGATTTCAAAGTAGATAAAAATGAATGTTCGTGCCATAATTTTATATTATTAGTGTACTTTTCAGTTTTCATATTGTTTTATAAAGATGTTTTCATTATTTTTGTGGTGGTAAATATTATAAGAGTTCTGGGTAAAGCATACATGCATTAAATATTATTTTATCATCATTAAATACAAACTATGTGACGTATTGTATAACCCAATACATATATCATTTTTATGGATGATATATTTGTCATTATTGACTGAGTAGGTCAAAATACGAATTATAAATAAAATATGTATATGACCACGAGGGAGGTGTTGCGCCATGTTAAAAATACTCATATATTAATAAAATATTAATGCTCATGAGTAAAATATAATAGTTAAGTAATATGAATACATTTAAATAATAATAATTAATGGCTCGGGTAAAAATTTACATAAAAAACGTATAAAGAAAAGTACGATGAAGAATATACGCTTTAAAAATGAAATACAACATGACAGAATTTTAAAACGGTTTAAGTGTAACAACGCCGAAGGAGAAATAGTTAAATAGAACATAATTACGTTCTTATAGTAGTTATGGATGTATACATTTGCATGTGCAGGGATAAAAATATAAAAGAAACGTTACGGAGTAGTATATTGTTGGAAAAGCTAAGAGGACGGAACGAGAAAATAATGTGAAATAATAACAAAGGTTTGGAAGAATAAAAATTTTGGAGAGTGTACTTCGAAGGAATGTTGCAGTGGATAAAGACAGAAAAAAATAATTATGTGCAGAGGCTGGAAACCTCTAGGTTAATAAAACCTTAAAAAGACACTCGAATAACATTTTATTTAACTGATGCTTGGAAAAACTTTATTATAGAAAGTCCAGAAAGTTTTCACTAGTAAAAAAAAAAAAAAAATAAATGTAGGTACACGGATGCGCATTTCCTATTGTTTTCACAACTTTGTGTTTTTACGGATTCCCATTTCCCACGGAGTTGTCATATTGTATTGTTATTTTTAAATAAAAAAAACACGTCATTAAAAATTATTTGTCGTACCAAATTTAGTTAAAATTACGAATATTATTAATGTTTTATCGTTATCGCTTTTGAGAGTATTCCATCGGGAGTTGTTACAGCTGACTGTATTGTTATTGAGAAATTAATTTTTGAATAATCGTGCAATATATTAAAATATAATATATATTTGTTTCTAACTTATGTGCAGGGTAAATACTACTTTGTATTAATATGTGTGATTACCAAACATATTATGTTTAGTCGTTGTATATGTTAACGTAGTCATTGAAATATAATAGTTGCATCTATATGTACTACACAACCATGACAAGTGCATTTTACATATACTTATAATATATTACTCATATAAATATGTGCACATATCGTTTAGATCACTGCTGACAACAGCAAAATGATGGATTGGTACAAGCGGAGTAAAAGATTTGAGAAAACTCGGGGAAACAAAAAACCGAAAAATATCTTACGTGTTACGTCATAATATATTATTATTATTTATTCTTCAAAGATATTTGAACATGTTATTATGTAATGGAAATTTAAAACGATTAGATGGTTTTTCATTTACCGGCTAAGTCACATCATAATATTATTTTACAGTGGGACAGACAAGGGTTGCAGGTCAACTATAAAATGAAGTCCGTGGTGTGGACCGAGAATATGAACGGCCAGCGGGAGTCCAAAGAATGAATTGTAAACGAGTGGATAATATTATTATATACTTTTAATAATAATGGAACCTATCATGAGGTATACCCATCATCGCGGTTACGCCGTTCAGAAATGACAAGCCAGAAGCAGTCTTATATTATAATGTCTCATCGACCATTAATGCGTTTACTGCATATATATTATAATATGGTTACACTGCACGGGAGATTATATTGTTATATTATAATATGTTATTATGGTGACGCCGAAGAAAGCTCTGCAGCGGTGTTTGTGGCGTGCGACGTGAATGCTAAAAAAAAATTCCGAGCGCATCGCATATTAATACAACATGGATACGCGTTGTGTTACACAGAAGCATAATATTATTATTAACATGGTGCAGAAGATATTGTACAACAGGGTATATTATAGTCGTCCACTCGTCCGAGCTTAGGGTGTAAAAAAAAACGTTCAGGGCGAGGGTTGCTCTACGATTTATTACAATATAATTATATTATATTGTGCGGCACGATCCCTGCATCGTATTTCTGATGGCCAAGTCCGTAATAATAAATAATAATAATAATAATAATAATTATTATTATTATACTGCGACATGACCGCGTGTGTACCTTAATATGTTATTATTTTTACAGTGATAAAAATAAATCTCAGATTCCGATATATTATATCAATATCGCTAATATTCGTGTTTATATTATTATAATGTGTATCGACGGATTCGCCAAAGGGCACTCGGAGAATAAAATATTGGCCGGCCCTTTAATCGCCGCAATCCGAACGGCACGTACTTGCCACATTATAATAACGGTCTCTGGGTGAGTACATAATTCCGTCAATAATATCATTGTCACTATGCGTTGGTTTTTAAGTACCCGTACTACGTCGATGCCACCCAGTGGTTTTATTTCTAATTCAGTCCGCCTGAGTATTCTTGAAATCATAATAATATTTATAATATGAGTCGCAATAAAAACAGGATTTGTAAAATTGCAGTGTTCAGT